CCTTGAAAACAGTCACAAAGATATTTCATTCTTCTGCTCACCATTACAGACTGATAGGGATTGGACTGGGTGTAAGAATGACTGATCTGAAGGCAACAGATGAAGCAATCGATAATCTTATTAAAGTATTTGAGAGGTGGTTTGATGCCGATAAAGATGTCAGTTGGGATGCTCTAAAAGAACTTTGTGAAGAAGACTATCCTGATGAACTGGGCCAAGCAAAGGCTAAGCTAAATAAAGCACTTGGCCATCAGTAGCAGCTGCTTATTTTTTGTTTTTTTTTTAATAATAATCATGATGATGTTTTTTAATTCCTTTTCAATTCCTTTGTACATTACATGTACCTAACAGTATTTTTTTGACATAATCCCACGCATTAATTTAATTAAGAAGTATCTACGTGGGTGTGTTCTTGTATGGAGGACAATCCAACACTAAACGAGCTACTAGCTCACGTATAGACGTTGGTACAGAGTGGCTGAGACTAAGGGTACTACTGGAACTGGATGTGAAAGATCTAATAGCCATAGAACATGAGAGACCCACCAAAGACTACACACATCTATGCCCTCTGGTTAAAGACCAATCCTAACGCTACAAGAGGACAACTGATCAAAGCATTAGGAGTCATCAGAGCTAATGCTTTAGCTGATAAATATAAGGAATGGATTAGTAGTACTGGTAGAGCTACTGCTACTAGTAAAGACACTAATACAAGAAGACATACTCCTTCAGTCAGTAAACAGTGTAAGTTAGTACTATGATCAGTGGTAAATGTGGAGGGAATGTAAATGTAATGATGTTAAATATATTTTTACTGTAGCTACAGCTCAACAGTCACTTGATATCACTGATCTTCAAAAAGTGTTGAATTTGCTGCAGATGCTCATTTTAACGGAGACTGGGAGGGACTGGGTCTAGAACTAGGACTCTACTAGCACCCAACACTCAGGGCCACTGAGAGGGGGGGGCAAAAGGGGCAAATGCCCTGGGCCCCACAATTTTAAGGGCCCCAAGAAATTTTTAAGAACTTAATTAAACAAAATTATTACAGAAGATGGGCCCTTCTGCCCTTTTGCCAAGCAAAAAAGTCATGATATCATCAAAATCAATCTTCCTAGCTAGTTAAAATTCAATAGATAGGTTGCAGTAGGCGTGGCCAATTATTGCTTCCGCCATGTTGGAGTACAACTCGGAGTACAAGTGCAATAATAATGTCATGACTTTTGTTAACAATTAGCTTTTTAGGAGCTAATGAGCTGGAACAGAAATGCTGATTGACTGACCTGGGTAGCTGTGGCAGTGAGAGAAAAAAAAGAAGTAGATGAAGCAATAGTTGACCACTCTGTGACACCTGAAACTGACTAGACTACTTAGTACTGCAATGACTTTCACACACAACAAATGCACATTTATTTCTGTTTTAGTTTTGAAAGAGGA